GAAACAACTTACTTTTTGTTTCTTTTCCTGAAGTGGGATTGTAAAATAAAAGTTAATAATTGTTCAGGCAGAAAGTTTATTTCTAATCAAGCAATCTTAGCCGTTCAATCTTTAATTAGGTCAATCTTCAGTTTATTTCGAATCAAACAAATCTAACCAATATATTTTGATAAAACTGCTAAAATCACGATTAAACTAAGGAATCATTCAAATCGAAAACGGTTCAATTTAATCAGTTAGGTCAAAAAACCAATCGGTTTACACAAAAATTAATTAATTAAATTTTTAAATTTTATTTTATTAAAATTTAAACTGTCTTGAACTGAAACATGTACAATACTACAATATTAAATGGGAGCATAAGATTCATTTTATGTAAGTGACACAATTCACTTTTTTCTTTTTTTCTTTTTTCGATGTGCGATTGTAAAATAAAATTTAAATAGAAGCTAGCCAATGAAAATTTTATTAATTGTTTAAAATTAAAAAAATTAAAAAAATTAGTATGAGATATTAAAACTAAGGCTTCTTACCAAAAATTCCATTTTACTTATGGAATATACAGATTTGCTAAATATATTATATATTTGAGACACCAATTTGGTAACAGTTACCTGGGAGGTTACTATATTATTATTCAGGCATTTATTCATAAATCTATTTTTTCCTATTGATATTTTACTTAGTCTAAATTATTTTTTTATATTTCAATAAGTCTAAAATATCTCTAATGATAATAGGTTGAATGGTGCATTAATGTTCACATTAATAATGCGAATGTTTCGTAATGTGAACATTCACGTTGTCAAATATGAATATCCACATCACTAAATTGCTAAAGGTTCAAAAAATATTTGTAAGGGTAAAATTATTTATAAAATATCTTAAATATGATAATTAAGATTTGGTACATCAATATTTAAATAATAGGACTTATTAAAATAAAAGAATATGTTATGGACTAATTGGGATACAAGTACTTAAAAGCGGATTTCATAATAATTTTTTCATTATTTAAATATTGCTTCATTAATAAAATTTAATTTTTTGCTAATTAATAAAAAATTAGTAATGTTTAAAATATGTCACAAGTCCCATTTAGAAAAATAAAGAAAGAAAATTTAGAAATCGGATTACCATTACTTAGGCCAAGTTTGGCAAGTTGAAAAAAAATCAAAAAGTTATTCAAAAAGTTAAAAAGTTATCACTATTCACCAAAAGTCAAAAATTGCGGCTGCACAACTCCCAATCTTAATTTTTTCTTACACACTAATTTATACAATTTTTTAATACACATTTTTTCATAAAAAGTCAAAAAGTTAACCAAAACATCCATATTTTTTTCCTCAATTTTTTAGTCCAAAAAGATAAAAAATGCATTTATTTAGGACACCCCAAACAACCCTTTACAAATCTTTGGAAAGACGCATATTTGGTTTGATTTTCAAAAACGTGTTCAGAATTTTTTTTTTGTTGTAGAAAGTTAAAAATTAATTTAGTGAAAGAAATTAAAAAAAATCAAAAATACTTATCATTTTTACATAATTTTATCTTTAGGAAGGTCCCAAATAATTTTTAAAAATTTAAAAATATTTTTTAATATTTATTTTTATCAAGTTAATTTCTATTTTTTCAAAAATTTCCTGAAATTTTGTCCTGAAAAACAACGAAACAAGGCAAAATGTCCAAAAGCTCCTTTTGCATTTTCAACAAACACTATATTTGAAAAGAAGAAATTAGCCTTTTGAACATCTTTTTTAATAATTTGTCAACTAAAAATGAAATTCATATTTTTGTTTTAGATTGAAAATGAAATATATTATAATAATTATTTTTAGACATCTAATTTTATAACAAAACAAGCATAGGATGCAAATCACCTTGTTTAGCTTTAATCTTCTAAATTCAATTTTCTGAAATTGAATTATTTATTTATTTATTAGTGATTTTTTTTTAATATTTTAAACAAATTTTTTACATTTTAGATACACCTAATCTAGATGAACTTAAAAAGTAAAATATTTTAAAAAATCAATAAATATACAAAAATAGGAAAATATACTAAATTTTATTTTTATTTTTTTGTATTTTTAGTATTTAGTAATTTTTTTAAATATTCTTTTCACAAATATTATACTTTTTAATTGTACCCATTTTAAGTCTATCTAAAAAGTATTAAAAAAATTACTAAGAATAAAAAATAAAAAAATGAAAAATGAAAATTTGAATTTTCAAAAAAAACAAGATGAATCATAATCCAATCAAACAATTATAGTCAATAAATTGTAATTAACTTTCATTTAGTCGGTCCAAACAAATGAAGGCACAATGGAAAAGGTAATGCAGCAGATACCAACTCGTATTCATTACCACCCGCGTCTGCGCGTAACGCTACAGGGAAAATAGTCGTTGCAAGGTCCACAGTACGACACGTTAGCAAATTTCCAAATGAGGAACCTACTGAAGTTTCGTACTATCTCAAATGCACGTCCTTTCACCACTATTTACACTCTTACCACATGCCCAACTTCGTGCAAATTATCTACTACAACCCACTCACACCGTATCATGAAAAAAATCATATCAACACTACACACCCACAAAAGCCGTCTGTTTATGTGGACCCCACATGAATAATTTCTAAACCCTGGATGTGATGTGATCAGAGAATATGGGCCGTTGATTTTTACATCAAATGAATTCATCATGGAGATGGAGTCTCGAGGAGGGTTATGCTAAGACTATCTTTAATGGTGTATTAATTTTTTATTTATTTATTAAAGTATAGTTTGAGATATTTTTAATAAGTATATTTTTTGACTTTTTATAAAAAGATGTGTAGAAAAATAGAGAGAAAATATTAATTGATGTGACTAAAAAAATATAAAAAGATGAACTTATTTAGTTTATGCTAACACAAGCCCTTTAAGTACAAATTTCTTTTGAAAAATGTTTCAAGGAATGATTTTGAAATTTTATCAAACCATCGGTCGATTGGGTAGACGATTTGCCGATCGACCGGGTAGTGTAATGTTTTTTACAAATTTTTGCCTTCAGATAGTCATTCGGGGGACGACCGGAAAGATATTAGGAGGACATTCGGCAACGATAATTAATAATGATTTGATGAAAGATACATTAATTTTTAGTTTAATGAAAGAAAAGTGAAATTCTCAATTTAATAACTATTTGATAAAATCGTTGGAGTAAGAAAAATAGTTATTGTTCATCAAATTTAAATTTGATGAAATGTTTAAGCAACCATTAAAGATGGTCTAAGAGCATCTCCAACCCTTCACTTCTTTTTTCACCAAATTTGAGTAAAAAATATGTTATTTTCTCAATTTGATACTTCTTCTTCCAACGGTGAGCATCAAAGCAGTATTGAGGAAGTGGTCGACCGGTTGACTGGCCGGTCGACCGGTAAGGGCAATTTTTTTTTTTACCTGTTTGAACCTTTTTTGACCGGTTTGAACCTATCTATTTGAAAGGTAACCGGTCGACTGGTTGGTTAACCGACTGGTTGACCGGTTTACCTCCTCCAACTGTCACGCACAGTAATTTGGTCAAATCTGTAGCTTGTTCTCAGTTTGATGATTTTTTTGTTGAATTCTTATTTTGATACCAATTTGGTGAAACCGTTTGAGCACAAAAAAATGACTTTTTCACCAAAATTTAAATCTGATGCCAAGTTTGGTTCACCATTGGAGATGGCCTAAGGAATCAAATAATCTATCAAATTTTTTACCAAATGTCTAATACGAATATAAATATAGATTTATGTAGTTTCTGTAGTCATATAAACAATTGAAAAATACTTGGGACCCCCTTTTGTTAGAGCATCTCCAACCCTTTACTTCTTTTTTCACCAAATTTGAGTAAAAAATAGGTTATTTTCTTAATTTGATACTTCTTCTTCCAACGATGAGCATCAAAGCAGAATTGAGGAAGTGTTGGTCGACCAGCAAGGGCAAAATTTTATATTTTTTACCTATTTGAACTTTTTTTGACCAGTTTGAACCTACCTATTTGAAAGGAAACTGGTCGACCGGTTGGTCAACCGGCTAGTTGACCGGTTTACCTCCTTCAACGGTCACGCACAGTAATTTGGTCAAATCTGTAGCTTGTTCTCAGTTTGATGATTTTTTTGTTGAATTCTCATTTTGATACCGATTTGGTGAAACCGTTGGAGCACAAAAAAGTGACTTTTTCACCAAAATTTAAATCTGATGTCAAGTTTGGTTCATCGTTAGAGATGGTCTTAGAGACTCCACAACTCCCTTTAAATCTCAACCATCGATGTATATATGAAACCTATTCATGTATATATAAAACTCACACTATCAATAATTGAGATTAAAAGGATTATAAAGCCTAAGGATAGGTTTGGGATGTTCTAAAAAAGTATGTTTTTTGACTTATTGGTTTATATGGGTTGTGTTTGGGTTGAGTTTGATATGATGTGTTAGAGAGGTGATGTGATTTAAATAAGATGAGATAACTTAAATAGAAGGGCAAATTACAAACACCCCCCTCGAGGTTTGGTGAAAATACAAATTCCCCCCTGAGGTTTGAGAAATTACAAATTGCCCCCTGAGATTCAAATTTTCATAACAAATTAGAAAAAATTAGGGGGGAATCTGTATGAAAATAAAAACCTCAGGGGGCAATTTGTTATGAAAATATAAACCTCAGGGAGTGGGATGTAATTTCTCAAACGTCAGGGGGGAATCTGTATTTTTACAAAACCTCGAGGGAGGTGTTTGTAATTTGCCCTAAATAAAATAGTAACTTTTTAACTTTTTTATTTTTTTAATTTATACCAAATCAACCCTAAATAAAAGGTCTCAATGATTATTGTAAACAATTTAATAAATTATTTCTGTGGCATTTCCCATCTCGATTCTCAAAGTGGGTCCACAGTCCCCCCGGAGCCTCCACGTCAATCGTACCCCAAATCTTCTTGTATTTAATACACCGCCCTCTCTCTCTCTCTCTAACCTTTTGTATTTCTCTCTCTAAAACCTCGTCCCTGTCAGTCTGATCAGTCCCCCTCCACTCTCTCTCTCTCTCTCGCTCTCTAAACCTCACAGAGCTCTCTCTCTAACTTCGAGGAGAGTTCGAAACCCTAGGGAGTCAGAGTCGAAAATCTCAAATCATTCGCAGCTTTGTTCTACATCTCTTTCACTGCGAATCTCGTGCTTTCTGCGGTGCTTTCTGGTAACGTTTCTCGACCTTGGCTGTTTCAAAATCACTGTTTGGTTCTCGGGAAAGCTGCATTTGCTTATTTTCTCGCTCACTTTCTGTTGAGTATCAGAGAATCTTGATATATTCTTAATGTTCACTCTCTTTTGTCCAATTTCCTGTATACTGCATTTCCTTAACTTTAATCACTCTGTTTTGGTTCTTTGGTTAGCTTTCTCTAATGATTCATTTTAAGTGTTTATTTGTGAATGTATGTTTTGGTTCTCAACCATTTGGTGTTTGAAGAAGTACTTATGTTGTTTCTAAATTGTGTTTTCAAGTCTTGCGAAACAATTATTGTAATTTGATTTATCTTATTGGAAATTGGACCTTTTTTTGTTCTTGTTCTAATTCTCTTTCGATTTTTATTTTGTGGGTTTCCTTGTGAACGCTCTTTCAATGTTCTAATTTAAGGTATTTACTTCTGTTTTGTTCTTCTGCTGAATCTTTTTTTTATTTATTTTTATTTTTTATAATTATTTACAATTGTTTTTTTTTTTTCTTGTCTAAGCTTGTGTTCGGATGATCATTGGAAATCCAATTGGTTCATTGCGTTTCATGTACTTTTGAGAACAAATCCTTTCTCACAAGAGTGGTCATTTGAGAAATGTTATGCAATGATTGAAAAGATTATGAGACGGCAACATCTTATGTAATCTTACATCGGTTGTTCTCCATGTTCTTCAATGGCCCCATTCTGGATAATGATTTCTTAGCTTCAAGCCCTCTATGGGCAGTTCCAATAAATTTCATTCTTCAACAAAATTCCAATTTTTTATTTATTACTTCTATTCCATGACTGGAACAGGGGATATACACATCACACCACGATTTTGAATCAAAAGAGAGATCTCAAGAAATGGTAACATGTAAGGTCCCACAAGGCCCAGATGTGTTCCTAACCCTGTAATTGTTCTTTTACTTTTAGATTATTTTCAATTTTTTCCTATTCTCTTTGAGCAAAATTTGCATAATCTTCCAGTAAGGTTTACACTTTGTGGGTCACCTTTTTCTACTGTTGATAAGTAGATGACAATATAAAAGAAAAATCTTGGCTGACATTTAAGACCTGACAGGTTTGTACAAACTTCATCTTTTGTGCATTAAGAACCACCAATCCATATCCAGTTCTTTCACCAGATACTTCTAAGGTATTTGTTTTTTTCATAAATTGTTGTGGATTGCTGTGATAATTCTAAGATAATTTTTTCTTTTCATACAGCGCCGACCATGAGGCAAGGCAAGCAAGGCCGCTGCCTCGGGCCCCCGAATTCTGTCTAAAAAACAGGCCCTCCAAATAATTTTCGATCTTAAGTTATGTTTGGTTCATTGAAATGCCGGCCATGAGGCAAGGCAAGCAAGGCCCCCACCTCAGCCCCCTGAATTCTGTCTTAAAAACAGGCCCTCCAAATAATTTTTGATCTTAAGTTATGTTTGGTTCATTAAAATAAAGTGGAATGAAACATTCGTTCCTTCATAATGTTCATTCTTACATTTGATTTACTAAAAAATAATCAAAAAACATTTAAAAAAATTATCATTCACCATTGTGAGGAAATAATTATTCTGTAAAGAGACTAAGAAATAGCCATTTCATTCAATTCAATTTCATTTCAGTGAACCAAATAGTACATTATAGTTTAACAAACAAAGTTTTACAATTTATTTTAAACAATTGAATTGGTGAATTATTTAAAATTATTGGATGGTTGTTTGCCAAATGTATGATTATTTATAGAATATTGTTTGACTATACTGGTTACAATTGTCTTCAGAGAAATAAGGGATTTTTTTTTTTTTTTTTTAAAGTTGAAATTTATCAAATTTTACAATTCAATCCACTATGTCACGAAAAAGTGTGAATAAGCTAATAACATTAACAATCGAAAATATTCAAAATTTATCTCAATATTAAAATATGTACGAAAGTCAGGCCTCATTTTTTGAGTTCGCCTTGAGCTCTAAAAAAGTCAGGGCCGACCCTGCTTTCATAAATTTACAGATTGCTGTGTATGTTGACCCAGAGATGTATGGTTGTAAAATGTGACAAGTCTAGGTTATAAACCCTTAACCATGATGATTAAAATTGATAATTTAGTCCAATTTCCAGTATCAGTGTTCAACAGTCTTTACAGTATTCGTTCATCTTTCAGATTGATGAATTTATATAAAGATATATATTCCAATTCACTTTTCTTTTTTTTCCTTTTTTTCTTTTTTGGATACATAAGATACCTTCGTTTTTCACTGTCAAAAAAGATTTATGTCTGACCATCTTCATTTTCTGTTGATTTCATGGAAGAATTACAATGCTGTCATTGTTTGCTTTTCAGGGTAAATTTTTCCAAGTTATGGATTCTTTACAGTATTCGTTCATCTTTCAGATTGATGAATTTATATAAAGATATATATTCCAATTCACTTTTCTTTTTTTTCCTTTTTTTCTTTGTTGGATACATAAGGTACCTTTGTTTTTCACTGTCAAAAAAGATTTATGTTTGACCATCTTCATTTTCTGTTGATTTCATGGAAGAATTACAATGCTGTCATTGTTTGCTTTTCAGGGTAAATTTTTCCAGGTTATGGATTGGGCTGTTTGGGATGGAACACATGGTCAAGGTTTCCTTCCCTGTTCTCTAATTGGAATGTCTTTTGCTTTTGTTATGCCTTTAACATTTTTGCCAAAAAAAAAAAAAAAAAAAGGGAGAGTGCAATAATCTTAGTGCTATAAATTGATGCATAAATCTTTTTGGCTAATTTAGTAACTTTTTGACTTTTTGGCTAAAAAGGAGGGTTCACAAACGAGGTCTTAGTGCTATAAATTGATGCATAAATATTATTGCTTTCATCTATAAACCTGGTTGTCGATTAAAATGGTTGTTCTCAGTTGCACGATAAAGCAGTTATATGGGACGTGAATGGCAGTGTGACTTTTACTTTGGTTGTGGGTTTGGTAATGTGATGTCCCTTAGCTTTTGAACTTTGCGATTGTAATCGGTTATGTACCTTATTGTGACTAATGTATGCTCCTATCTTAAATATTTACTTTCCTATTGTAGATGTGATAGAAGAAAATGCTTTGAATGAGAAATCTTGTATCCAAGTGCTAAGGATATTGATAACAAAAGCAAATAATGAAATTCTTGAACTTGAAGAAGATCTAGTCACCCTTCAAAGCCAACTAGCCTGGGCTGATGAATCATGGTCTGAAATATGCTCTGCTTCTTTGAGAGAGAAAATCGACTGTCTCGATATTTCAATACAGAGCTTGAAGAACACAAATGTACAAGATGAGCATGATTTTGGGGGTTGTTTACTATTGCACAGAGAACCGGCTGAGAGAATGCATGAAATAGTAAAGGCTATGCTCGAGAAATACTTTCACCAGAAAGATGAGCAGGTTCACTCTTGAATTTTTCACATTTTTCTTCTGGCTTTCTGTTGATTTTAGTCAGTTATTTTTTTTGGGCTCTGCCATTCAATTTTTTTTATTTTTTATCAGGTTGATGTTATGCATAAGCAGAGTCACCCCCTCTTTTTCCCTTGATAATTTTACTAACTAAAAGAAAACGAAGGAACAAGGTTGAGAACATGCTAGGCATATTCACATGCAAAAGCACCAAATCAAAGAAAAGTTATCAATGGATACAACAATTAAGCCGTTGTCGATACCCTATGAAGCATAGACACGGACATGAGACACAAACACGGACACATCGATAGAACAAGTCCCAAAAAAGTAGGACATAGACACGGTTCAGACACATCACAAATAATTATGTGCATAACATATGCAAAATTAAATAATTAATTTATACGAAATGAATCTTGTATCCAATTCTCTGACATGAATTTATAGACTACTGGACCATTGTAGTTAAAAATCAGACAAATTATAGTATACATATCCCATCTTCCTAAGCTATCTTCTAATACATTTACATATCTTTTTCATTTTTCACTTAGGGTTGGTTTGGGGTGTACTAAAAAAGTGCACTTTTTGTCTTTTTACGAAAAGATGTGCAGAAAAATAGAGAGGTGATGTGATGTGATGGAAAAAAGATAAAAAGATAAAAAGATGGATTATATAGTAGATGACAAACAAGGCCTTATTTTTATGTGAATTCTACAGGATGATCATTCTTAATAATTATACATTTTTAAAGATATAAGATATTATGTCAAATTCTCAAACTTTGAAAATCATGTGTTAGCAAATGTTCAAAGTTTTGGTCTCATGTTTATTTTTAAGTGATAGCCATGGCCAAGAAGTGATGGACTCATCACAAAAACGAGTGTCGGAGACGTGTTTGAAATTAAGATTTTTATTTTTAATTATGGACACAAAAAAAGAGTATCAAACATGTGACTGAGTGTCGGTGTCCAACATAGAAACATCACTTGCATATAAGTCTCTGTGCTTCCTATTCGATATTGAAACCTTCGAAGGAGCTATGAAGGTTTTATATATTTTCAAAGTGTAGAAGTTGTTAGGTATCTCAGAAAATGAAATCGTAAAGAAGAAAAAAAGAGATGATTCTGGAAAATGTTTGTGTTTATTCCATTCTTGCTCAATTGATACAAACACACAACCTCTCTATTTATGCACCTGCCAATTCCACCTCAGTACATTCCCTAACTAACTACTGTTACAAACACACAGCTGACAAACCTCACTCACTAACATGCTCAACACCCTGTATAACTGACCTACAAACTACCCTGTACGTCGAACTTAACTAACTTTCTCAACCTTCTCTCTTACACAGTGAAGTGGTCTACCATCAGTTTCTAATCCCTCTATGTTTTCCACGTTGGAGCATTTTACTGTAACAAACTTTATCATGTTCTAGTTGGCCAACAAAAAAGTAATGTAATGTGTTGGACTCAAGTCATTACTATAAGGTCATTTCCTCTTCTTGCAATTTTTGCTTCCTGGGGAACTATATATTCTGCACAATAAAAGTTAAGGTAGCTCATACTGGTTACATGATTTAGTAAGCATAACACTTACTGCATAAACTGTTATTGAAGAAGTATCTAGCTTTGCTTGAGTTAGGCCTGGTACTCTTTAACATTTTGTTGTAATCCCTTATAATATAGAGTAGAGTGAAATTTGAGCATGTCCAGTTCATGGTCAATAACAGATCATGAGAAATGCAGTGAAGTACACAAATGAGTAGGAAAAAAGGCTACTTAGGAGTAATAATGACAGTAAACACAAGTGCACTACTTCACCACACATCCCCCCTGCACTCCCAAAAAATGCTAGTGACTCCCCCTTACTCATGCTTTTCCCCATTTACATAGGATGCTTGGGAGGGGTCGACTGGGCACATACCTAATGAAGAGATCACCACAAATCCCAGCTTCTCTTTATTGATTGAAATCATCCCTGTTAAGGTTTTATCTAACTGATAGAGGGTGAAACTAGAAACTCTTATGACCTGTCACCCCCATGCAGATGTGAATTATAGTGCAACAGTATAAATAGCCACCCTTTGTCAATCACCCTCCAAACTTTGGATAAATGATATGTCAAAGAAATTATTGTTCTGGTTGGCCTTCAATCTTTTTGACTTCTATTTTGAAAATTTTCCGGTGAGTATTTACAGTGAATGAAATTGCCTTCTGTTTATCAAGCATAGGTAAATACTTCACTGTTGTATAAGTTATTTTGAAGAATGCATTTGAGAAAATAATGCTTGATAAACTAAATGATGTCTTTTATTTTTCCATGGCAATCGGATAGTCCGTTGATGTAATTGTCAAAGAATCAAGCTCAGCTGGTTTGCAACATGGAAGTGACCTTATGGTGCAAAAGAAAAGGTTGGGCTGCTCTGCTTCAGAGCCTATCATAAAGGAGGAAGTCGAAGAGGCCAATATTATTCTCGCACAAAGACGTGTGATCTTCCATTCATCTTTGAAGTCTCAGGGAAAAAAAACATGTTTTCCAGAAACTCTTAAGGTCCCTGGTGCTTTATTGCTTATTGCTTATTGCTTTGTTTTGTTAGTAAATAATTCTTCTGCTAATTTGAATTGAAAGTTAAAAGATATTCAAGTTGAAGCAACCCTGGGTTTTACTTTTCGCATGAAATGTTGACTTGTTACATCTCAACTATGAAATCATGTCTTCATGTCAAAATGTCTGCCTCAGATATCGGATATTTTTTACTTATTTAAGTACTAAAACCTTTGTGGTGCTCATATTATCTTTTGTAAATGCGACTGGTTGTCAACTTGTCATACTTGTGACCATTATGAACTCTCTGTGCGTGTCACTGTCATGTATGTGTATGTATGACCCCAACTTCTCTTGCAAACACGTATACAAACAGAGATAAACTAGCTTGGAAAATCTAAGGACATGCACAGTTGAACTGTCAATAAGCTTCATTATCAAACAATGTTGGAAGCACAATTGCCCCGTTCATACTTCAAAACTACCCTAAAAAGTTTAAAAGTACAAACATATTGATCTTGATTTTCACTTGTCTATTTCTCTTCAGTACACTAGAAATCGTTATTTTCTATGGTTTCTGACTTCTTACTTTTTCCCTCTGAGGTTGTTGGTGTTGGTGAAAATAAGCCCACCTAAAGTCTGATACCCTTTGTGGAGAGAAATAAACCCATGTACCAGTGAAAACAATACCCAAAAGAAATATGCACACACAAAAGGGAGAATACTCTTGAATCTTTATGCACACACAGAAGGGTGAATGCCCACCCTTGAGGTTTTTTCCTTTTTTTTTGGTTTTGTGTGGTGTGTGTGTGGTAACAATACCAGTGTATTGTCTGTTTGAACACAGGGCAGACTGTTTCAGATTAATATGCGTTGCATATTGTTCTTGACCAGTTTTTTCACCGTTCAAACTCAGTGACTGACTGTTTGAACACATATCTTGGCGATTTTATATTCTTTAGTTACTTAGGTTTCTATCTTTTATAGTCCTAAGAGGACTTGCTAGATCTATTATGAGTGTGAGTTTTGGAATAGGTTTGTTTGGTATAGCTCATATTGCATATTGATTTGGGTCATGTGCATTGATCACCGTTTGGAGCATGATGAGGTTCATGTGGTGGATGCAAATAGTGAATGTGCAAAGATTTTCCATGGAATTGCTCTTAGTGTCACAGTAGGTAGGATCTTGGCATCTAATGTTCTAAGTTGTACTTGAACTTTGGATACTAGTGGATGCCCTAGGTTCATGGTTTTTTACCGAGTTTGGATTTTCCATATTAAAACCTTGTCTCTTTTGTGATCGCTCTATGTTATTCTACATATATTTTTTTAAGTATCTTATTCTACATGGTTAGATTGGTTAATCGACATTGATATATATGATTTCATCTGCTTGGATTAAAACATTCACGTTCAATTGATTTAACTGAAGAATTACATGAGCTATTTGCACTACTCTGACCGGAAATTTATTTTTCAAAACCTGCCTCAGCTGTAAAAACCTAACTCAATTTCGAAAAATTCCTATTTTTACTTGGATTTGATTGCAATTATGACCAATTTATACTGCTTAATTTTCACGTTGGGCTCCATTGCATACTTATTATTATTGTTATTTATTTTTTGGTTCCATGCGGGACTCACAAAAACATTGTCGAGAGAAGGGCAAGCATTTGTTGTTTTTGGCTAAAGTGTGGGTATGATAGAATCTGGGGTAAAATTCAGGAGGTGAAGGTCTCTCTTGGTTTTAACTTTGACTCCTAGAAAGACACTTTAGTGTTAGTTTTACAGAATGAGTTTGAGATGGAATGAGGTAATGTAAATTACACTTGCAAAAAATTAAGTTAATTTGGTAATTTGGGATTAAAAAACTTTCAGCTGATTGCTCTTCTCTAAATTCTGACTTTTGTTTAAGTGGGAGGATGCTATGAAAATAAGAATCATAATGTTCAGCAACCAATGCTAAAAAAGACAAAGACAAAAACAAAAACAAAAGCAAAAAACAAATAATCAAAAGGCAAAATAAAAATGAAAAGAGAAGATTAGAAACACTAATGAAACCTTATGTATTTTGTACATAAAGGTTATAGTGTGTGCAGAAATATATATAAATTTCTTCTGTTACCACATTCTTGCTGTTGTATGAGCACTTTTTCCATATCTGTTGGTGATACTTGAACACAAATAAATGTTTAGAGTTGAGGTCATCTCTTTGCTTTATATATGAAAAATTCGTCCTTTCTGCATGTTTCTAGGGTGTACCTCCATAAAAATAGAAACGCACTTTGTTACTTGATTTAATTTCTTTTGTAATAAACAGCACGCAAATTCTTTCATCAAAACTTCTAGCCTAGCAACTGCAGCTGGCCTCACCAATGGGAAGAAAATATTGAACAAACTGGATTCAGTAAGCAATACAAAATTGGAAGTGAGTAAATATGATATGACTGTGGCAGACTACTGCATGACCCAGAAGTCATCTCCAAAGACTCCAGTGAAGAGAAGAAATCAAGAACCAGTTAAGTATCAGGCAGCTCATTATTGCTTTTTTCTGATAGTAATTCATTTTGCAAGTTGAAATTAACAGCTCAAAAATGGAAAAGCTGTCTTGGGCATGAGCCTGAAGATTCTTTAGTTAACACGCTGCCACGTTTCACCTGTGTGAACATGTCTGAATTAAAAAGAGAAAATCTAGATTTAAATTCGAAAACTGCCTGTGCGATGCTTTGGCTCTTTGGTTAACAATTCTGCAGCCTTGCACTTAAGTCATTGTGTCCAGTTTATGAATTAAAAAGAGAATCTAGATTTCATTGTCTACCACCTTTCAAACTGGCATATAGCCACCCGTAGTAGTTTGTGGAACTCTTCATTTTATTTTTTTTATGTTTTTATTTGAACAGTATTGTGTTAGATCACAGTATATACAGACTCATTGGTTTTCCTTCTGAAATAGAAAAGTAACTTATTGGCTGAAGATGCTAGCTAACTTAGCTGGTAAGGCATGTTGGTGGTAGTATCACATGATTGATTTCAATTCTCTTAAGGAACTTGAACAATCCCTTCATTACCCAGCTCTGCTTGCCTATATCAAAGAAAGTATAAAATAAAATCTCTCATTGGAATTTTTTGGTGTTTGTATTTGTGTTTCTACTTTTTAAAACAATCTCTGGACTCAGATGTGAATGCTTGGGCATGCCAAGACTGAGTCCAGTCCAACGAGATTGATATCTAACTTCTAAATAGGAGACTGTGTGGTCAAGTGGAGAGAACCACCTGGTTCTTTGCTTGCCTCAATGAAGAGGACTTAAAATGTGTTAGAATGGAAAGGCAACAAAGACAAATGCTGTAAATAGATGAAAATCGGATTACATTCAGAATGATCAAGAATGCGTTCAAATTCAAAATGCAGTCTGAAATATGCAGTTGTCTTAAATGCTTTCTCATAACACTATACTGTCCTCCCCTTAATTGAATTTAATCCATGAGATGTTTAGAGTTGTGATTATAGTTTTTAACTTTTGTCATTCCAATCTTTTTTTTTATTTGATGGTAAATTCATTCTAACCTCTTTCTTTATTGCTTCAATTCCTTAATTTAAGAACTTTATCTTTTTTTTACAGATCTGTAGTTTTTTTAGTGACAGGAATGGGTAAAATAAAAGTAAACCTCCTGATTCTATGGTTTGAAATTGTTAATATTTCCTGTGAGTCTGATAGTAACTATAATACCTGCAACTGTAACCTTTTTGGTGCTCCCTGTTACAGGATCTTGGAGCTGTCTGTGAGTTGATAGAATATTTGTGGAAAAATAAAGTATGGCAACAGTGATTCTCCCAGTAGAATATGCAACTAACAGATTTATATGAAATATTCATTTGGGAGCAGCCATCGTTTACCTTACTTTTTCTCAAGGAGGAATTATCTCATAATAAAAATCTTCCAATAAAAATGTTTATCTACAGCTTTACTCTACTTTCCATTATGCCTCCTACTTTTTCCCAAATATAGGTTTTTTCATCAACCACGGAATGTCTCTTATTACATGAACACATAGTTCTGTTTATTTTCTTGGTTATAATTTATAGTTATTCTCTGGCAAAAAGCAAACTTGAATAACTGATATGGTGCATTCTTCTTTTATTATCATGAGTGAACAGCCTGTCAACAGCATTGTTCCAGAAGAAGATTTATCTTTGAAACCTAAAAAGAAGGATGTAGCAGAGAAGGGCAAGGTAAAAGCAGCTTCTCTTCTCCTTTACAACTCTTAGAATGGCAACATTGGTTTGGAACCTTAGGTTAAGTGAATGATAGACATTTACGAAGCACAGATAGGGACACAAACACGGACATGGACTTGAGAATGGACACAACAGGGAAATGGAAATATAAAATTATATTTTTACTTTTATTTTTCTATGTATATGAATATAAATTTAAGCCACAGACATATAAGAGATATCAATGTAGAGACATCATTGTATATTAAGTGTGTTTTTATATTTTTTCTAGTTTCCCCTCTTTATTTCCATATATTTTATTTTGACCCCAAATCAACTTTAAAATAAAACAAAACCCATAAAGGTGTCCCAAGGCGTGTCCAAACATAGGACACGCATGTTCATGAAGTGTCTCCAAAGTGTCTCCAAAGTGTCTTGCAAAAAAAAATAATAATTAAAAATTTTGACAAGCCACATACCATGTCCGAAACATGGACACACATGTCCGTGGTGTGTCGGTGTCTAATATGTGTCGGACAAGAACATGACACCCATTTTGAAGTGTTTGTGCTTCCTAGATAGACATAATAGGCTCCAACTGTGAGATCCATATTCAGTGTATCCTTGCCACAGATATGCTTGCTTGCTTGAGGTTATATATGTTCTTATTTCTTTCGTCTTGCACTGAATAGCCCAAGTGCACCATTGCCAAAGATTCCAGCTCAGATCAAGAAACTGATGACTCTAGTCAAAAGAAAGGGTTGAGCAAGTCTGGTTTGATGATTAATGGAAAGAATGGACTCAAAACACACAATTCTGCTTCAAAGGAAAGAAGTGAAGTCCTGAATTCATCATTGAAGCCTGCACGGAAACCAAGAACAGCTAAGCTACATGTACTGTTTTCCTCTCCTTGAATATAATTTGAACATAATAACTATGAACTTTAGGGTTCAGCTCTAAGGGAACCAGTCTTTTGTTAGGAGCACAAATAATATGACGCAGCGACTTCGAATTCTGAGTTTGTATGATTCTATATTCAGTTTACATCCTTCCTTGCATTAGTCTGTATACTAATCTTCTCTTACACTGAAACAGCCTGCTAATGCTTCCGGTTCAGATGCATCAAAACGTGTAATTGATCCCAAAGGGAAGAACAAGTTGTGCAGGATTGATTCAAAAGTTCATGGGCATAAAGAAATCAAAGAACACAATTCTACGGACCAAACCGTAATCTCAAAATCATGTTTGCAACATGGAGGAAAGCAATCAAATATTTCAGAAACAGTTGAGGTACAACTGTACAAATAGCTCTTTGACTGCTTTAAATCAAACATGGAAGTACTTTTTCAGAAAATTACGGGACCTGTTTGGTTGTGTTTTTGTTTTTTGTTTTCATTCTTCGGAAAACATATAATCTCACATGCATAGACAGACGCATGGATTGCATGTTGAATTCCAGTTTACCATACATCTTAAGCTTCTAATCCGTAATCAAGATTCACAAATATAGTACCACAACCTCAGATTTAACGGGCTCTACGTTGGATACACACTGTAGAAGATTTGGAGGATATGATGATTTTAAACTGTCAGAATTCACCATGTCTTTCAGATGTTTATTTGCAAGTTTGTGCCAGCTTGCAGATCATATTGTAGAGTTCAGATCTAGTGCTTTACAAGAAGTATCTGAAGAGTCTGAAGTGAACCCAGCACTAAGCAAAGCCCCGGATTCTCCTCTGACCAACATGATCGACCCTCTTCTCTCGTCGTTTAAGACAGAAAAGAAAAGAACAAAGACTCCATGGCGAATGAAAGGTCCAGAAGCTGGTCTGACTGATACCGAGCAGAATGCAGCAGACTCACTTATTGAGTTGATGTATCAGAAAAGAAAACATATAACCAAGCAACATCCAAGGGAAGAACAAAAGCAAAAAGCTAAATTACCTGTTAATGACAATGAGTCCAATTCAAGCTTGCATCCAAAGCCACAAAAGCAGAGGGCAAAAAGAGAGCAGCAGCAGAAAGCTACGCCAGACTCGCATGCAGATATCAATGTAGATTCAACTTTGCTGTCTCAAAAGAAAAGGAATTGTCAAAGCTCGCCAGTCCTTGGGGAGACTAAAAAGTTCAAGGGCCTTCAAATTACTCCAGCACAATTTCGTGCTGATACAGCTGAATATACAGCTGAATATACAAGTGTGGAAGACGACCTTTGCACCGCTAAGTGCTCATCCACTGGTGATAATAATTACAAGACTCGAAAATGTCTTCCTTCTCCTACACTCCCTCATCCGGCACCAAGTGGATTGGAAAAGCATTTGACATTAGTTGATCTAAGAGCCATTGCAAAGATAGAAAAGGTGAAAGGATATTGCAAGCTCACAAAAGCCAAGCTCCGTGAAGTACTCAGTCTGAAGCTAATGGATAGAGGTGGTTGTACATAATAGCAATCCATCAAGTCCTCTTGTTACTCATCAGGTAATTTCTAGTGATCTTTTTACTTTAGGGACCATTTTTGGATGTGGCATACAGGAAAAGAGGAGAAAAGGAGCCATCTTGGCATAGCGTAAAGCTTTAGGTTTCTAATATCTCAGTGTTTACAATCATTTCTCAACATGACTGCCCCTTTTTTGTAATGACCCATGTACAGAAAAGAAAATGTCAGGAGAGTTTCAAACTTAGCTTTTTTTTGTACACAAACATGTGGTAGGTTTTTTCATTACAAGTAAATGATGGGATCTGGTGGAAATTAATGAAAGTAAGGCTTTTTATGGAGACAGTGCGTCGGTTTGGAATTCTTTGGCCCAAGTGTGGTTACGGTCAAAACAAGTCATGTGTATGGCTGGGCCTGCAAATGGAGCTGTTTGTGAGCTCGACTCAACTCTATTCGTTAAATAGATAAATGAGCTGAAGCATGATTTTTAGGCTCATTTTGTAAACAAGTCCAGCTTAAGCTTGAATACGATTAGCCGTCAAACTTGACTCGTTTGTTTTTATTTAAATTATAAAATAAATATATTATTTATATATTAAATAATATAAAAATATGTATAAATAATAGCATAAATATATGGTTTATGTGTTAAACAAATAACATTTTTATTCAAATAATATATAAATATATTATTTATATATTTAAATGATATAAATAATAGTAAAAATAATTTATTATCAAGCTCAAGCTTGATTAATATTAATGAGTCGAATTCGAGCTGAATAATTAAGCTCGATAAACAAACGAGTCGAGCTTGAGCCCTATAAAGCTCAGCTCAATTTAGTTCGTTTATAACCTATATATGGCTATTTTAGGTTCTTACATTATGCATTAATAGATGCACATCTTATATCTCAATTCTTCCATGGCAATCTTTTTTGTATTTATTTATTTTTTCATCTGATAATGCTAAGTTTGGATCTTAGATTTATGGAGAGAAATGAATGACAAATCCGTACATTAAATAGTGACTAACACAATTACTACCTTACCTACAAGGAAAGTTGCACATGAAATGATTAGTATGGGTATCAGCAATAACATAAAGAATCCTCTGACTTCAAGATTTTCCCTTTTTGGTTGATGACTCCCAAGATTTTCTGCTCAGTTACTTCAAGAATCAACCTGAGGAACCAAAGAATTCCAGGAAGCACAATCAGAATTAACACAGGCTTCACCGTTTCATTAGCATGGTGCGCACACGCATAAAATATGAAACATTAAACCAAAAAAGTTACTGAACAAAGTATTCATCTATTTATGGTGTGTTTGGATCTTGGATATGTGAAGGAAATAAAAGGCAAGGGATATGTAAAACCAAAAACAAACCAAACCAAGCCTTAAGTCCCATAAAAGGTAAAGGATATGTGAAGAAAAAAAATATTTACACTGAGTATTTGATACGTGTCAAAAAGTGTTCAATGAGTGTCGGTATTTGACACACATATCACCTATTTAAAAGTGTATGCAGTTCTTAAACAAGCATACAAGACCATTCTCAATAGCAGGTTAGAATATCTACAATTACCACTATAAAAATGTGTGATAATATAATTTCATTTAAAATAAGCCACATCATTATGAATGTAAATCTATTTGTATAGCATTTCTTATACCATATCATCCATTTATTCATCTATGTAGCATTTCCATCGTATAGTAGTATGCGATCATGTCAACACTAATGCACCTAATACCATATAAGCTACATTGTTAAGTAGCGTCGTCAATACATAAATGAGTGGAGGAGCCAGTTTTGCATACCTATCTTAAGAAATCAGCAGTAGCACTTAGTGTCCTAAACCATGAAAACCCAAAGGCAACTAAGGTATGAACAGTTAATTTGAAGGTCTTTGGTGCTCGCCAAATTAATGACCAATATATCACAGTGTCAACTTTGTGACAAGAAGCCTGGAACTTCTAATCCATGAAGATGTGTTGACATGTCCGGGTTGTATCTCTCTCACCTATTCGTTTCCATAGATATCTATGTCGTATGGACTTTTCTAAATTTGTGAAGTATCTGTGTTGAATACTTGACAATTGCGTTAAGGCATGGGTGTTTGAAAAAATAGTGTTTTATATGGTTTATTTTGGGTCAACTTTAAGGCCAAAATTAAGTGGATCCCAAACGTCTTTTGGAGTAGGTCCGAAGAGGTGACGTGTTTCTTGCCGCATGGCAAGTCACACGGTGAAGACAGAATGTCAAAACCATTTATAGGTGAATGGGAAGTTGACGTTGTTTTCGAGTTTAACATTAATTTTTTAAACAAAGTTCATTTCAATTTTTTCAATAAAAATTATTGTGGGAATTTTATTTAAATATAAATTTATTTTTTAGTTTCCTAAAGTGGTTTCCTAAAAAATGATTAAACTATTCAAATAGTTTAATATAATTATTCCAAACAGTGAAAGTTTTTTGTTATGATTAAACTATTCAAATAGTTTAATAAAATTTATTCCAACAGTGTAGAACTTTGTCCACCAACGGCTGTTTGATTTTCAAATTGTTTGGAAGGAAAAACTATTGCATGTGCAATGGCAGAAACTGTTTGAACAGTTTGTACCTGTTCATTTGAATCTCATCTGTTCATTCAAAATTGGAACTTGTTCGGACAGCAGTGTTTGTCTATAAATAGAGCCATATTCCAGCAGTCTAAGGATCCCGAAATTCAGTCTGAAATTGTCTCATTGCTGTCCAGATTTTATTGTGTGCATTTTTCTTCATTCCAGTTTTAGGAAAAATCAAAGAGAGTATAGAACACAAGGTTTGGTTCGCTGTACAAATTTGTTTGGTGTGCTACAACAATTTTGTGAAGATCATTGTATCTTGGGAGATAGACGCCACTCAACCGTAAGCACCGTAGCGGGACAAATCTGTCTTAAGGACAGAGTGTCACACACTCGTCTTGGTCTTTTGATTTTATTTGGTTCGACAAAATAAATTCTGTAAGTTTTATTTTATTTTGTTTGAAGTTGTTTCGATTTATTTTATTTACACAGAAGATTGTTCCAACAATCTTAAGACAGATTCGAATTATTCTGTTTACAGAATTTTTCGTTGGTTTCCTTTTCTCTTTCTTCTTTTAAGAAAATTATTTTCTGTGGATTTACAAAATAATATTCTAGTTGGAAAAACAAATAGTGATTATATGATATTTGACAGATAGTAGTAATATACTGTTTATTTTCTTTGACAACTAGTAGTACGATACTGGTGTCATTAACAATTCAGAATATATTTTTGTGGAATTTTTTAGAAATTAATTTTGGATTTTAGAAATTATTTTCTGTGTTTTCATTACTTAAAATTTTGTTTTAGTATTTTAATTATTGAAGTGTTACAGAAATTAATTTTCTGTGTGGAATTAATTTGGTTGAATAAAATTTTATTTTATTTCCAAATTAATTGGAAAATAAAAGTTACATTTTTGTTTCTTTTATTTTTACAGAATTTAATTCTGTGAATTTGGTTTAATTTTCTGTGTAGTGTAAATTCTAATTATAATTTTGTTTTATAAATTAGAATTGATGGCTACTGAAACTAATGCCCAAACAAGTACTACTGTGGTGGCTGCAATGGCGCCAATCCCCTCTCCTGTTGTAACAGTACCGGTAAATCACGGTGAAAAGCCAGAGAAGTTCGCTGGAACTGACTTTAAAAGATGGCAACAGAAAATGTTGTTCTATCTTACAACTCTAAACCTGGCTCGTTTCCTCCGTGAAGATGCTCCTATCCTGAAAGAGGATGAAACCGACCGGCAAGTGGTTGCTGCAGTTGATGCTTGGAAACATGTCGATTTCCTTTGCCGGAATTACATCTTGAACGGACTTGACAACACATTATACAACATCTATAGTCCAATCAAGACAGCAAAGAAACTTTGGGAATCGTTGGAGAAAAAGTACAAACGGGAAGATGCCTGCTCAAAGAAATTTGTGGTTGGCAGATTCCTGGATTTTGTAATGGTTGATTCAAAAACTGTGATCAGCCAAGCTCAAGATTTCCAACTCATTCTGTATGACATTCACGCAGAAGGCATGTCTCTCAGTGAATCCTTCCAAGTTGCAGCCTTAATTGAAAAATTACCAAAAGGTTGGAAGGAATTCAAGAACTACCTCAAACACAAGCGCAAAGAAATTTCTATGGACGAATTAATTGTGCGTTTGAGGATTGAGGAGAACAACTGCAATTCTGAAAAGTGGGCTGGTAAGCATCCTATGGAGTCTAAGGCAAATGTGGTGGAACATGTTTCAAAAACCAAAAAATGAAAGTCTTCTGGAGAAAGTTCATCACAAGGCTCTAAAGGGGGGGGGGAAATAAAAAGTACAAGTTAAATGGAAAATGTTACATTTGTGACAAAGAGGGACATCGGGCCAAAGATTGCCGTAGCGAAGGCAAAAGCAAAAGAAGAACAAGCAAGAAGCCTGCTCAAGCCCATATGACCGAAGTGGACAATATTTCCAATAGTGTCTAGAACATCAATCTTTCTGCAGTTGTTTCCGAGGCAAATCTTGTCAGAAATCCTAAAGAATGGTGGGTGGACACTGGTGCTACTGGCCATATTTGTGCCGACAAAAAGATGTTCACATCTTATTCTACAGTGGACAATGGTGAACAACTCTTTATGGGCAACTCCTTTACTTCCAAAGTTGAAGGACAAGGAAAGATTGCACTTAAGATGACATCTGGAGAGGAACTCACTCTCAACAATGTGCTGCATGTACCGGATATTCGCAAGAATCTTGTTTCCGGATCTCTGTTGAGTAAGAATGGGTTTAGGCTAGTATTTGAGAGTGATAAATTTGTACTTACTAAGAATGGGATGTATGTAGGAAAATATTACATGTCTGATGGCGTTTTCAAGTTAAATGTAATGACCGTTGTACCCTCAGTTATTAATAAAAATACATCTTCTTCTTACTTGCTTGAGTCTTCAAATTTATGGCATGGTAGACTAGGACATGTTAATTATAAATCTTTGCGTAGATTAATTAATATGGAATGTTTACCTAAATTTGACATTGATTCAAATCATAAATGTGAAATTTGCGTTGAGGCAAAATTATCTAAAACTCCTGTTCATTCAATTGAAAGAAGTACGGAACCACTTGAATTAATTCATAGTGACATTTGTGATTTTAAATCAATTCAAACTAGAGGTGGGAAAAAGTATTTTATCACTTTTATAGATGACTATACTAGATATAGTTATGTTTATTTAATTCGAATCAAGGATGAAGCTTTGGAAACTTTCATTTAATATAAGAATGAAGTTGA